GATGTGATAAAAGCATGGATGAATGTTTAAGTCCTTTAGACACCAAATTAGCTTTCATTTAGCAATAGATTGTAGTTGGTAAAGCTGCTGTTTATAACACTGATTTAATTGTTAAAAATCAATGAGCTATCCATTAAAAACACCAAGATTTCAAATGGAATTTGAACATAAGTGGATAAAATGCCTCAGTGAGGATATTTGTGGAGCTTAAGTGATATGAGTTTCTGAATGATGGTGATTCGGTGGGTCATTGTATAATTACACTTGCTGACATTTTAAAAACATCTGGAGCACAAAGCTATTTTGCAGAGTCAAGTTTCACACTGGTTTTCCTGCATCTGAAAGACAACCTTTACTGGCCAAGAAAAGGAAACCATTCTTCATCTCTAGGTCTAATAAATGTGGCATCCCTCAAGGACCCAGTTTAGGTCCTGTTCAGTGTCAAATAGCTGCACTGAGATCCAGCAAGACCAGAAGGGTGACAGGAACCAGAATCAACAGATAAAATGATATCACTTTACACATTTAACAGAGCAGGTTTTATACTTTGCAGGTGTCTGTTTCAGTTGGTATTTTAGCAAACGTAGGACCGCATAATACAGCAGACGTCTCTTGCAACCTGTTAGATTTTTGTTTCACCCAGAAATTGATGTCAGCATAACTAATTCTCAGTTTGCTAATATGATTAAAATATTTTTTAAATCATCTAAAAAAAAACATCTAGGGAATCTGTGAGGAAATGGGAAAGAGCTGGCTCTATCTCGGGTGTTCGTTGCAGGAGTATAAGGCAACAGGACAGCTTTGTCTAAATAGATTACTGTCTGTTTACTTTAGGCTTGAATATAAACAAGGCAATAACACAAGTAGACATGTGACTCCCAAAAATATGATTTTTACCATGATGGTGAAAAAATGTCAGCTGCAAATTGCACTCCGAATATGATCTGATCTGTGAAAACACCTTTGCATTATTGTCACTGATTCTTTCTCCATCTATGTGTAAACACCATCCCTTCTGTGTGACCCCCTGCTATTTTACAGTTATAAATTATTTATAGGATATAAATAAGGAGCAGTCTGGACTGTAACACTGTAACACCTGCATTTTTTTTCCCCCTCACTCCACCTACTCACCTGCTAGTGAAAAATGACATCCAATCTTGGTGCAGACAGATTGCAGACAACGAGAATGCATAAACTAGCAGGTGATACGATTTATTTTCCTCCCTGAGATATCCAGACTGCATTTTACCGTCACGTCTAAATTATATCTGGATTAACATATGGCTTCTCCTCATTCATTATGAGGCAAATAATTGCAAGAAAGGTACATTGCCATATTTTCTCCAAAAATCTAAGTTAAATTGGTAATAACTGAACGTTATGTTTAGCCTACGGAAAAGTGTTGCAAAGTAGTGATGGAGCTGACTTGTGTGCAGTTGTGCCAACAGGCTGCGACGTCAATACTTAGCTCACAACGCTGCTTTGACAATCACCGGTAAAGCTGATTGCAACAAGAGTAATAACGACGGGCTGTGAGCAGAGTAGCAATAAAACAGACACTCTTGTGGTGATAAACAAAGCGCTCCAAGGGTAAAAGTTGGGCGAGGACACAGCCAGATGTCATCTTTTGCCGGGGGGAAAAGTGCCTGTTATTTAGTATGTAGCCAAAAAAAAGGCAGGGATTTCTTTTTTGGTTTTTCCTCAGGAGGCATGTATGTGAGAGTTTAAGTATTCCATGTTGGAGGGAGCCTGAATTCAACATGAATTCAGCTCTACAGTACATGTGTTCACTAAAAACTAATACTGTTCTCAAAGGTGTGTGTCTGTCTGTGTGTGTATGTGCTAAAGAATATGCAAAGCATTTGGGAACTCAAGCCGCTATCATCACTTGCAGGAAAGTGTGTGTGAGCACTCGTGTTTTGCATGCTGTGCGCATAGCTCTGAAAGCTGGAGCTCAGCGGTTGTGCCGGGGCATCCAAATCAGGAAGGGGCCTCTGAGTGTTTGTGTGAGACATTACTGAGATGAAGACGTGTTGAAAAGGAGACAAAGTGGTAGGTAGGGAGAGCCCAAGTGTTTGTGTGTTTTCTCCTTTTTCTTTTTTCTTTTTTTTTTGAGTGTGCATTAAAAATCATTAGGGGAAATGGAGTGAAGGGACTGCTTGTGCATCTGTGTGTGTGAGTGAGTGTGATGGCCACAGGCATACTGAGCAGCCTCATAATGAACACATTGATCTAGTACAGCAGAGGAAAAGGACGACCCTCCATGCATTAATAGTGACGTTAATCTTCTCCTCCATTATTTCCCAGTCTTTCATTAGATACGACCGTTGGTGTTATTTCTCTCGTGTCTCTGCC